TTCGTGTGTGTGTGTGTGTGTGTGTGTGTGTGTGTGTGTGTGTGTGTGTATACATAGTACACGCACACAGTGCAATCATATGTGCACATGAGGAGGCCAGAGTAGGTTGCTGACATCCTCTTCTGTGCCGCCGCCCCCGCCCCCCCACTGCCCTTTGCCTTACTGTTTTGAGACCAGGTCCCACTGAACCAGACGTTTGCCTTTCTGTTTGGCTGGCCAACAAGTTCTCGGGGTCTACTGTGTTCCCCAGGCCAATGCTAGGGTCACAGGCATATGCAGCTATGCCTGGGTTTTTACATGTGAGCTGGGGATTGGAACCCAGATATGCAGGCTTCTGGAGCAAGTGCTCTTAGCCACTGGTCCTTTTTCTCAGTCCCTCTCACCGCTGTTCTTGACCAACTGAGCACCCTAGTTTTTCCCTACCTCGTGGAGTGGTGGTTCATGCCTATAACCCAGCACTTGGGAGGCTGAGGCAGAAGGATTGCTGACAGTTTGTGGTGAGCTAGGCTCCACAGTGCATTCAAAGTCACCTTAGGCTACATAGTGGCGTATCAGCACCCTATCTCAAAACAAAACAAATCCCTCATCACCTCTTTCCATGAAGCTTTTATGTGTGCTAGTGAAGGAAGACAGCTCTAAACAAAATAAATAAAACACGAGGTGCAGAGGCAGCTGTCTTAGCCCCTTGTCCTAGGGCTGCGATAAAATGCCTTGATAAAGGGGTTTATCCTGGCCCACGGTTTTGGGGTGCGGTTCATCATGGAGGGAATGGATGTTGTAGGGGCTTGAAGTAGTTGGTCACATTGCATCCACAACGGGAAGCAGAAAAGGATGAAGGCTTGCTCCACCTGGTCCAGGATCCCAGCCAGGGGATGCTGCCACCCAGAGTGGGCAGATATTCCTGCTTCGGGTAAGGAAATGAAGATAACCCCCCACAGGTATGCCCAGAGGTGAGGATGACTCCAGGTTCTGTCAAGCTGACAGTCAACCGCAACTCTTAGGGACATCCACATGCACGCTCCTGTACGTCTTTCTCTTACCATCATGCTTAAAGTCTATATTGAAATTCCTTGGCCGGGCGGTGGTGGCGCACGCCTTTAATCCCAGCACTCAGGAGGCAGAGGCAGGCGGATCTCTGTGAGTTCGAGGCCAGCCTGGTCTGCAGAGAGAGTTCCAGGACAGACAGAGCTACACAGAGAAACCTTACCTCGAAAAGCCAAAACAGGAAAAAAAATTCCTTTAATAAGTGGACTGGGAAGATGCCTATGGATGAGGACCTGAGTTCAAGTCCCCAGCACCCATGTAAATCCGGGCACAGCAAGGCATGCCTGTAAGCCTGGTGCTGGGGGACAGAAGCAGGAGAATCCAGGGGCTGGATGGCTCGTTGATCTAACCAAGACAGCACATTCCAGGTTCAGGGAGAGAGAGAAACCTTGTCTCAAAAACTAAGGTGCCTAGGTGTGGCTGCATGCTCCCATAGCCAAAGTCCTGTGGACTGAAGCGCTGGCTGCCCTCCAGCCTTGTCCCAGTTTAGGGGGAGGAGGATCCCCAGGGCTTCCAGCCCAGTCAGTCCAGCAAAAACCCTGAGCTCCAGGCTTGGTGAGAGACTGTCTTAAGTAATAATAGTAACAACAACTAATAACAATAACACCAGCCGGGCGGTGGTGGCGCACGCCTTTAATCCCAGCACTCGGGAGGCAGAGCCAGGCGGACCTCTGTGAGTTCGAGGCCAGCCTGGGCTACCAAGTGAGTCCCAGGAAAGGCGCAAAGCTACACAGAGAAACCCTGTCTCGAAAAACCAAAAAAAACCAAAAAAAACCAAAAAACAAAACAATAACACCAATAATGTGCCGATTGAGGATGGAATGCCTGTTATGGAATATTATTTTAAGATGTATTACTTTGTTTATGTTGCATTTGTTTAACTCTGTGAAGCTGTGTTACTGTGCCTGTCTAAAACACTTTATGGCCTAATAAAGAACTGAACGGTCAACAGCAAGGCAGGAGAGAGAAATAGGCAGGGCTGGCAGACAGACAGAATATATAGAAGGAGAAATCTGGGAGAAAAGAAGAATAAGAAGTAGCCAGACTTTAATCCCAGCACTCGGGAGGCAGAGCCAGGTGGATCTCTGTGAGTTCGAGGCCAGCCTGGGCTACCAAGTGAGTCCCAGGAAAGGCGCAAAGCTATACAGAGAAACCCTGTCTCGAAAAACCAAAAAAAAAAAAAAAAAAAAAAAAAAAAGAAGTAGCCAGAGAAAGAGGAGGACTCCAGGGTCCAGCCACCCAGCTACACAGCCAGCCACGGAGTAAGAGTAAGATTTACAGAAGTGGGTGTTGGAGAGATGGCTCAGAGGTTAAGAGCACTGGCTGCTCTTCCAGAGGACCTGAGTTCAATTCCCACCAACCACATGGTGGCTCACAACCATCTGTAATGAGATCTGGCGCCCTCTTCTGGCCTGCAGGGACACATGCAGGCAGAACACTGTATACATAATAAATAAACCTTTAGATTTACAGAAGTAAGAGAACAGGAAAAGCCCAGAGGCAAAAGGTAGACAGGATAACTTAAGGAAAACTGGCAAAAAACAAGCCAAGCTAAGGCCAGGCATTTATAAGTAAGAAAAGACCTCTGTGCATTTTTGTGGGAGCTGGGTGGTGAGCCCCCCCAAAACAACAACCCATGCCTATGTCAACCCCATGCTCAAATCTCTCCCCTGGGGAGACAACATAATGTCTGCCCCTCCGCTATGGTCCCAGTGGCAAACCAAGACGCCATCCCACCAAAGTTTACCCAGAGGAACCAGAGTTAATTAGGCTTAGTTACGGGGCAGGAGTGACAGGTTCCGAGCAGGAGGCACCCACTGGAAGGTCCGCAGCAGAGGGATGATGGCCTCCCCATGGCTGTGAAGATGGAGCCCTCCCTAGTCCTTCCCGCCTGCATGCTTGTGCCTTCTTCCCGACACGGGTGTGGTTAGGGCAGAGCTACAATCTGCTTGGGAGGAGTGGCTGGACACCAGGGGAGGGTCACACGGCCGAGGAGTGGCCGGACACCAGGGGAGGGTCACACGGCCCGCTTCGTCTCCCCCTCCTGTGGGGGAAGTCAAAGGTTAAGAAGCCCAGCTGCGGTCGTCTTTTCAAGCAGGCCATAGCAGAGCTTCTGGAGGGCACAGTTAGGCTTGCAGGACAGTCTTGGACACTAGCACCTATCATATACAGGTCCTTGCACATATGAGCACCTCTGCATACACACAGGCACCCCTGCACACACACACACACACAGGCACCCCTGCACACACACACACACAGGCACCCCTGCACACACACACACACAGGCACCCCTGCACATACACACACACAGGCACCCCTGCACACACACACACACACACAGAGGCACCCCTGCACACATACACACACACAGGCACCCCTACACACATACACACACACAGGCACCCCTGCACACACACACACACACACACACACACACACACACACACAGGCACCTCTGCACATATGAGCACATCTGCACACACACACAGGCACCCCTGCACACACACACACACACAGGCACCCCTGCACACACACACACACACAGGCACCCCTGCACACACACACAGGCACCCCTGTACACACACACACACAGGCACCCCTGTACACACACACACACAGGCACCCCTGCACACACACACACAGGCACCCCTGCACACAGCACTTATACTAATGTAGAGAAGAAAGATACTCCATGATAATCTTCAGCCTGCCCATGTACATCCATGGGCAAGCACATCTGCAAACACACAGGCACACATACATCTCCCCCCCGCCGGGTCTCTCTGTGTAGCCCTGGCTGTCCTGGATCTTGCTCTGTAGACCAGGCTGGCCTCGAACTCACAGATCTGCCTGTCTCGGCCTCCCGAATGCTGAGGTTAAATGCTGTGTGTCACCACCACCTGGCAAGGGGAAAAATCTTGAAAGGGGACAGAGAAATCTTAGAATGTGCTAGATTCTCTCTTTCTTTTGGAGCAGGGTGGGTACTGGGAATTGAACCCAGGGCTGCCCACGCTCTAAGCATACACAATATCACTGAGCTACTGTCTCATCGCACCCCCCAAATTTCCTTCCATATAAGGTCAGAGAATCCTCATTAAGACACAGAGTGACTCAGGGCCGGGTGGCGGTGGCGGTGGCCCAGCATTGGCACTTGAGAGGCAGGCTGACCTCTGAGTTCGGGGCCAGCCTGGTCTACAGAAATAAAAACAAACCAACAACATGGAGAAAAGACCAGAGGCGAGGAATAAAGTCCCACAGGTAACTGGGAACAGAGATTTCCAGCGTAAAGACCAGGTTGTGCCCTGAGGTCAGGAGCACGACTTGCTGGGTGGGAGGAAGGCCACCACTATGCCACTTGGCTGTACCGTGTGTGTGATGATGTTGGGGAGAAATACCACTTCAGGGAGGAGCTTGGGGAATCGGCCGCGTTATCACAGAGCCTGCAACATTTACTGAGGCCTTGTGAGGGCTCTGAGCAGGAGATGGTGTCATAGAGGAGGGAGTGAACTTGAAGATCGAGATCTGGTAAGAGGATCTGGGACACTCAAGCAAGGACAGTGGTGGTTTGGGCTGGAGGGTACAGTAGCAGGGGTGACAAGTCCCCCATTGGGTGATTGGAATGTAGACCTGACAGCACTTACCCAGAATCTGTGCACTGATTTTTCCTTATTTCTTTTTCATGGCTTATCGCCATAGCAAAGAACTTCAAGTGGTGTGAAAGAAGATGCTCAGAGTGAATAGCTGGGGCTGGAGAGACGGCTCAGTGCTTAAGAGCACTGGCTGCCCTAGCAGGTCTCAGCACCCACATGGCAGCTCACAAGCCCCTATGACTCCAGTTCTGGGGAATCTGATGCCCTCTTCTGGCCTCCACGGCACCTCCACCCTTCACTCATGTGCACAAGCACACAGAGACACATGCACACACACAAATGAAGATAATAAATACAGCTGGGCGCGGTGGTGTGCATCTTTAATCCCAGCACTTGGAAGGCAGAGGCAGATGAATCTGAGTTCAAGGCCAGCCTGGTCCACAGAACAAGATCCACGATAGTCAGGGCTACACAGAGAAAATCCTGTCTCCAACCCTAGCCCCCCCCCCCAAAAAAAAAGATTTGTTAAAAAACTTTCCTTTGAAAACACTTGTGTATGGGCTTAGATACACATGTGTCACAGCATATGTGTGAAGGCCAGAGGGAAGTTTGGAGGCTGGTTCCCTCCCACTATGGGTTCTTAGTTCTTAGTTATCAGCCTTGGTGGCAGTCACCTTATCGTATGAGCCATCTCTCCAGCCTTAACCTTTCCTTTTTTTTTTTTTTTTTTTTTTGGTTTTTCGAGACAGGGTTTCTCTGTGTAGTTTTGGTGCCTTTCCTGGGACTCGCTCTGTAGACCAGGCTGGCCTCGAACTCACATAGACCCCCTGACTCTGCCTCCCGAGGGCTGGGATTAAAGGCGTGCGCCACCACACCCAGCAGCCTTTCCTCTTTAGAAGCTGCTTTTAGGGATAGTTTGTCAGAGCAACCCAAAGCTAAGGAAATCATGCTGCCCTGTGAACCGGGACCTCTGCCTGTGCTGTTCTGGGACCCGCAGCTTCTCTTGAGCCCACTCCCGTCTCACCTACCTCCAGGGCCATCACCTCAGGTCCCTGGGGAGGTCATGTGATCACCCTCTCCCAACACTGGGCCTCCTGGAGCCCATCACACCTCCCCAAAGTGCATGCCATTCTTTAAGACTCTACTCACAGCCGGGCGGCGGTGGCGCACGCCTCTAATCCCAGTACTCGGGAGGCAGAGCCAGGCAGATCTCTGTGAGTTCGAGGTCAGCCTGGGCTACCAAGTGAGTTCCAGGAAAGGCTCCAATCCAAAGCTACACAGAGAAACCCTGTCTCAAAAACAACAACAACAACAACAAAAACAAAACAAACCCTCCCCCAAAAGACTCTACTCGGGCTGGAGAGATGGCTCAGAGGTTAAGAGCACTGGCTGCTCTTCCAGAGGTCCTGAGTTCAATTCCTAGCAACCACATGGTGGCTCCCAACCATCTGTAATGAGATCTGGGGCCCTCTTCTGTGTACATAATAAATAAATAAATCTTAAAAAAAAAAAAAGAGATGCACTTCAGCATCTATATTAAAAAAAAGACTCTACTCACAGTGCCAAATATATATATAAATATATATAAATAAATAAATAAACCCCTAGAACTATTTATAGACGATTTTATTCATGTCTCTCCTACTAGGCAGGGGCTGCTATTGTGCCCCAACACAGGCACCCCTAAAATAAGTGGATTAACTTAATATACAGGCACCCCTAAAATAAGTGGATTAACTTAATATACTAAGTGTATTATCACGGCAAACATGAAGGGCCCTGGTTTTCTTTTTTCTATTTTAGTTTTTTAAATTTTATGTGCATTGGTGTTTTTGCCTGCGTGTATGTATGAGGGTGTTGGATCCCCTGGAACTGGAGCTAAAGACAGTTGTGAGCTGCCCTGTGGGTGCTGGGAGTTGAACCCCAGTCCTCTGCAAGAGCAGTTGGTGCCCTCAAGTGCTGAGCCATCTCTCCATCACTGGACTCTGATTTTCTAAGAGCTTTACCTTGAGATTTTTATTTATGTGTGTTGGGGGGGGGGCGGGGTATGTGCATCTGAGTGCAGGCACCCATGAAGGCCAGAAGGGGGCGTTGGATAAACTGGCGCTGAGGTTACAGCTGGCTGCGACCAACCTAGGAACGGCTCCAAGGGCTGTCAGTGCTGTTACCACCTCTCCAGGGCCCAGCTTCACCCTCCACAAGCTAGGCAGGTGCCTCTGGGACCCTTCTCTGGAGAAATCACCATTCCACTCTCCCTCGGCTCAGAAGGGGAGACCGCGGGAGTGACTTCATGGGGAAACGCCTTGTCAGAGAGTTTCTCTCCTACTTCTCCATCCTACAGGTCAGCTTGGGACTGGGATAAGGGGAACCAGGCGATAAGACAAAGGGAGTAAAGTCAGGACCCAAACAAGCGAAAATGAAACTGAGGTCCTCAGTGCCCAGAGAGATCAGAAATCCAGAACCTAACACAGTGTTAGGTTTTTGTGCGGAGTCATGTCTTGTAGCGACCGACGACACCAGGGGGCGCTGCCCCAGACCAAGGCCTAGCTTGGTTCCTTCATCTGGCCACAGGGGTCTGCGGGTGTGTGGGAAGGTCTCCGTGGGTCAGGAGTGGCATCCTTTGAGGATGTAAACGAGAGGGACCCCCACCCCCCACCCTGCGCCCCAGCCTAGACCCAGGGAGGTTTCACAACAGAATCAAAGCCCAGCCTAGCCCCAGAGTAAAGCTTGATTGAGGAAACAGACCAGGGTTGATGTCCACGAAACCTGAACCGAGTTTTGGGGTTGGGGAATCCCAGAATTGTGCTACGGATAAAATCAGGCCAAACCAAAGAAAATGCCAGGACGCGGCTCCTGTCGGCACAAACCAAAGGCTACCACGCACTGGGGGCCGCGGTGATCCGGGATCACGGACAGAGAGAGTCCGGTGCGGTGTCAGCCTAGGCTCTCGATCCCGGGTCCTGCTCCGGCTCGATGCCCGGTACCCCTCGTATGTCCGGCAGCAGGCGACAGCCAGCCACGATGTCCAGGCGCTCGGCGAGCGCGCAGAGGTCCCCGCGAGCCAGGCGCACGCTGTGGGCGGCCGCCAACCCCGTGGCTTGGGCAGCCGCCAGCCTCCCCGCCAGGGCGGCCACGTCGCGGCCGGCGCGGCGGTACACGCCGCTCACCGCGGCCGCCACGTCGTGGTCCAGGCGCGTCTGGCTATCGGCCAGCCGCAGCTGCAGGAGCGAGCGCGCGGGCGCCGCGACCGGGGTCTCCTCCGTGCCCCACGTCTCCGCCGCCGCCTGGCGCTGCACCACGAGCGGCGGCAGGTCTCCCGGCGCGGCCGTGGGCTCGGGCTCCGGGTCCGAGTCGGTCTCCGCTGCCTCCCCGGCCACACGGAGCCCCGTGGGGCGGCCGCGCGTCGGGCCCGACGGACCCAGGTACAGCTCCTCCTCCTCCGATGACGACGAGGACGCAGACAGCTCCGAGTCGGTCTCCGCCGCTTCCCCCGGCACCACCGTCCCCGGTCTCCGCCGCCGACCCTGGGACGACGCCATGGCGCCGAGCTTGGAGAAGAGGGGCGCGGGGACGTGAGGTCCGGAGTACCAGCCCCGCCACCCCCAGACCAATTCCGGCTCGGCCTCAGTGTCCCCTGGTGGGCGCATGGGCTGGAATTCTGCATCTCGGCATCATTCGCGCGCACATCGGCACATCGGGGAAGCCGAGGACCGGCCAAGCAAAGCTTTGGAACTAGGTCCTGCGAGGTGGCTTAAGGGGAGGAGCAGCGCTTGCAGCCAAGCCTGAGGCCGGTGAGTTCGACACCCCCCCGCCACACACACACACACACACACACACACACACACTCAATAAGTAAACATAAAGTAACAATAACGCCTTTAATCCCAGCACTCAGGAGGCAGAGGCAAGGCAGACCTCTGTGAGTTCGAGGCCAGCCTGGTCTCCAACAGTCTCAGAACTACACACTGAGTCCCTGTCTCAACATAATGCTGCCAAGGTAATTTTTTAAAAAGCTCTGTAAGCAGCAGTTCCCAGCGTCCTCGGGCACAGCCCACGCCCTCTCCACTGCCCTCCAGGCCAGCTCGCAGGCAGCCCAGGCGCCGGGGACGGCACAGAAGGGACGACCGCCCTTAGGGGGGACACTAACGGGGGGGGGGGTCACCAACACCACAGTCCACACCCAGAAGGCCGTACCAGGTCTCCGAAGCTCCGAACCCGAGCGATCCGTCGCTCGCCTGGCGGAAGTGAGGGTGTTCCTCCGCGTGGAGTCACATGATCGGGGTCCGGCCAATAGGAAAGCGGCTAGACACGTCGCTTCCGTGTTGTTATTGTGTGGTTGGTTGGTTTTTTATATATATACGTTTTGGATAATTCTGTAGGACACATGAATTTATTTATTTATTTATTTATTTATTTTAAGCTGGGGCCGTCACTTGAATCAGAGATTCAGCCAATAGGAAGGTCCGAAGACCCGGAAACAGGGAGGGAAGAGAAGTAAGGGCGGAAGACGCTAACGTGCGCGGCCCGTGAAGGGGCTCGATGCGCCCGCCCCCTGGTTTCCTAGTTCCTGCGCTCACTGTGCCGGCCGAGGGGGCGGGGCCACAGCAGAGCACCAATCAGACCGGTTCTTCCTCCCCCCCCCCCCCGAGCGGACCAATGGGAGCCGGAAGCGTTGTCCCGGTGCGCGGGGCGCGAGGAGGCGCATGGCGGACGCGGTGCTGTTCGAGTTTCTGCACACCGAGATGGTGGCGGAGCTGTGGGCCCCGGACCCAGGCCCTGGCTCGGGGGTGAGCGGCACGCCGTGGCCTCGGGGGGTGACTTCTCGGTGGAGAAGTGGGGTGCGATCGAGCCTTCCTGGCCGGTCATTGCTGAGGTGGAGTGAGATGACTCGGAGCAAGGCGCTCGGTTCGGGGCCTGAGCCGTTGGTAATTAGGGTAATTGGCTGTCATTAGGCGCGGATGAGGACACGCCTCACCACTCAGTGTGCAGCTCGACATCTTAATCTCCCTGTCCTTCCGTTTCCTCAGAAAAAAAATGCACCCTAGCAGTACCCCGACCCTTCTGTCCCCGCCGCCTGTGTGCCGGGTGTGAGCCGGGATAAAGTCTGTGCTGATCGCATTACGTCCCAGCACACAGTGGGACTTTTAGTAAGGCTTTGTTCCAATGGTTAGTAAAGACCCCACCCGGTGATGTGGAGGGTGTTGCTGGGATCACTGAAGTATTGTCACCCATAATAGTTCCTACCACTTACGTGTCCCTTTGTGCTGTCCTGGGTCTTCCACCCCATCCCGGGAGGTCAGCCTGACCCTCCATCTGAGTCATGAAGAGGCTGCTTGTACTGAGGCCCTGCTTGTACTCTTAATAAAGGGTTTGCAGATAACTTTCCGTGAGTCTGCGGAGATGTGAACTTGCCGGCTCCTTCTAGCAGGCCCCTCCTGCCGCCACTGTTTCCTTACTGGGGTCCCACAGCTGAGATAATAGAGTTGGTGGGAGTGAGGCCTGAGCATCAGGTCTCAGGAACCTCCCTGACTTTAAACTACATGGCAGCTCTCATGGCTTCCTCTGGATCGTTCCTTGTGGGAGTTCAAGACCTGCTGTAGAGACTGGTCTGCCCTCTTTATTATTTTCTCTCTTTTCCTCCCCGATGCCCCCCACCCCCCTATCCCCTAAGCATGGAGTTCTTGAGGCAGGTTTTCACTGTGTAGCCCAGGCTGGCTTCTGGTCTCCTTCCTGCTTCTTTCTGCCTGGAAAGAGCTGTTATAGGGGTGCAGACTCCAAGCTAAACTTCCTCACTCTCTATTCCTTCTCTGACTTGGAAAAAGCACCTCTGGATCAAACTTGGGCCTTGTGTGTCTGGTTTGTGTGCTGTGCTCCCAGTGTGGTACAGTCAGCCTCTGCATCCTGGGGTGCGGCACCTGGAGTCAGGGTCTCTCACTTATCTATTCTAGTCTCTAACACATGATCCTCCTGCCTACACATCCCAAGTGCTAGGATTGGAAGCACAGATTCTTTTTAATTACATCTATAGTGATTATTTACAAACTTTTTATTTCCTAAACACTATGGTATAACTATATAGCAGTGACATTGTATTAGCATTATAATCATCTAGAAAGGATTTACAGTCTATAAGAAGGCTGGGTTTATAGTTCAATGGAAGAGCTCCTGCCTAGAATCCCCCAGTGAGGGGCTGGGGTGTGGCTCAGTGGTCGAGCCCCTGCCTAGAATCCCCCAGTGAGGGGCTGGGGTGTGGCTCAGTGGTAGAGCCCCTGCCTAGAATCCCCCAGTGAGGGGCTGGGGGTGTGGTTCAGTGGTAGAGCCCCTGCCTAGAATCCCCCAGTGAGGGGCTGGGGTGTGGCTCAGTGGTAGAGCCCCTGCCTAGAATCCCCCAGTGAGGGGCTGGGGTGTGGCTCAGTGGTAGAGCCCCTGTCTAGAATCCCCCAGTGAGGGGCTGGGGGTGTGGCTCAGTGGTAGAGCCCCTGCCTAGAGTCCCCCAGTGAGGGTCTAGGTTCTATTCTCAGCACAACAAAGTAAAGCAAGGTCTGTGGAGGAGTGTGGGCTATTGCACACACTCCGTGTCATCAGAAGGACTTGCAGTTTATCTGGGGAGGTTAAGTGGTCAGGTCTTAGAACAGCGCCTGAGGCAGACAACTTACCTTGGTTTTCAGGACTGGGGCTTTGGAAGAAGGTCCTTGTTTGGGGAGATGCACAGTCTCTGGGGACAGTCGAAACAGAAACTCAGTCCCTTAGCTCCAAAATTGTCTGTAGTAGGGGTCTGCCGGACCCATCTGCTCTTTGCTTTGTACAATGTGTCTGTCACTTGTCCCAGTACTGATCACATCTTTCCCAGCGTCCTTTCTCTGTGTACTACACCTCCTGTTCTTTCTAACCGTGATCACGTGGCCAGCAGGGACAGCCCTAGAGACATGCGGAGGGGGCAGGCTCCGTCTGTTCATAGGGGCAATGGAGAGAGCCCCTGCTTTATCTCCTCCAGGAGAATAAGAGACTCAAAATGACAGAGCGGTTGGGGGGGCTCTGCCATCTCCATGTCTGGTGCGACAGCTGTGGTGCGGGCTTCTCCTCTGACCATCTCTCCTGCCTTTCCCCTTGCTTTCTGTTGTCTCCTCACGGTAGTCGGATTTTCTTTGGGCCGTCAGCTCAGCTCACAAATAACAACATGGAGACTTATTATGAAAGGCTGGCCTTAGCTTAGGCTTGTTTTTGTTTTTTGGGTTTTTTTGAGACAGGGTTTCTCTGTGTAGTTTTGGTGCCTGTCCCGGAACTCACTCTGTAGCCCAGGCTGGCCTCGAACTCACAGAGATCCCCTGGCTCTGCCTCCCGAGTGCTGGGATTAAAGGTGTGCGCCACCACCGCCTGGCTATCCTATCATTTCTATAAACCCCCCCTTTTTCTTTTCAGACTGAGATCCCGGAATCTAATCTCCTTTGTTCAGCTTTTTCCTGACTATTACCAATAACAACTTGTAACCAACCCCCCCTAAATGATGACAAACATCTGTAACCCACCAAATGACCAAAAACCACCCACTCCACCTCTTGGGAATGTGGGCATCGTGTTCTCTAGCCTGTTTCCTGTTGTTTGGGGTGATGGCATCTTTATGGGACCCTGAGAAAATGGTGATAATGGTCAAGTCCTGGGAGAGCTAACTGTTGTCCAGTCTCATTGATGGGAAAGTGTAGAACTTATCTGAAGTTCTGGCTGGACAGTCTGTGAGGCTGGACCATCTCAGCTAGCAGCTTTGAAGTTGTTGTGGATGTAGAGTTTTGAGGACGCTGCAACAGAGACATTCTGAGAGACTGGATCGCCTGGGCTACTTGTCTTCTTTGGTGTCTGCTCTTTTTATTCTGAAAACACAAACTTTCGAAGGTAACATACATATCTGCGTTAACACAATATGGAATGTGTGGTGTGCACGTCGGCTAAAGATGATTTTTTGTTCTATGTTTGAGCAGATAAAAGGCATCTGTCAACTTTATAAGTCCGTTTGGACTGCATAACCAGACTGTAATGTAAATCTCTATCCATTCCTATGAAAGGATGGCATGTAATAAGTCACGAGGACTCTGTCGCCAACAAGATTTATCATGTCTCATCCAGTCTCAGAGCTGTTCCCATGCCGAGGGATCAGCATATCTGTCACCTGTCTTGCAGTCTTTCTCATGTCAAGGGATCAGCATATCTGTCACCTGTCTTGCAGTCTTTCTCATGTCGAGGGATCAGCATATCTGTCACCTGTCTTGGAGTTTTTCTTGGTTCTTTTTTTATGTCTGTGGCCAAGATTTTCAGGGGGCCTTCCTCAATCAAATCTGACCTTTATTAATTTTGAAGAGCCATAACTTTTTGTTTCCTGTGGAAACAAAGGCATAGCCTCTCCCTCAACACAGATATTTTTCACTTCCATTTTGAAGACATTCTTAAACTGTACAGGTTGGTTTAATGCAGCAGTTTCCATAATCCAGTGTCTCTCAGCAGCTATTGTTCTGTGTACATGAGCATTAAAAAATTCAAATTTAACAAAGCACCATTTAAGGTCCAAACTCCCTGTTTTAAAATATTTTCCATCCTTATGTGGCTTTTTAAAATATTACTTTACTCCCTCTTTTAAGATTTTACTTTTGTATTTTAAACTATTTTTCCTATGATGTCTCTATGTGTGTGTCTTTCTTTTTTCTTTTTCCCAGCACCTAAGCACCTTTTTAAGCATACTACACCTTTTGAGTGGTTTTCTGTGTCTGGACCTGGCTTTCTGTGGGTCTGTTGTGTTCTTTGACCGTGAGACCAATCTTAAACTGTTAGTTGGTGGTTAACTGCTGCCTCCAGCCCCCTCAGTTCCCTGAGAGACTAGCCTCATGCCAGCGGGTATCTGCCAGAGGCGCACTTACGGCCCCAGCTCTGGGGAGTTGTTGAGTCCACTTTCCAGAGTCCCCACAAGCAGAGAGGCCCAGGCAGTGATTGCGATTGGGGCGGTGCTGGCTGCTGTGACTTCTCTTTCTGTGTGGTTGTACCCTGTGTTGGAGCGCCAAATGTCTTTCTCTGTCCCATCAGCCAGCTCCCAAATAATGAATTATGAAAGCTTGGGCTTAACTTAGGCTTGTTTTCAACCAGCTCTTATCACTTAAATGGGCCCATTTCTATTAATCTACGTTCTGTCATGTACGGCCCATCCTGCTTCCTCTGTGTCTCCGAGCATCCTCCATGCATGCCTCTATTATCTCCTCTTATTTCCTCTCTCTGCCCAGAAGTCCCGCCTGTACCTCCTGTCTAACTATTGGCCGATCAGCTCTTTATTAAATCAATCACAGCAATATGTCTTCACGCAGTGTACAACTA